ATACAATCCGCAAAGCCATCACTCCAACCATCAAGAAGGATCCTGTTGAGGAGCCTTTCAAGACCATCACCTTACCCTACATTGCTGGGGTCACAAAAAAGATCTCCAAAATCCTGATTAAACACAAGATCCAGGTCCGATTCAACACAGTACATAAAATCCGTGATCTGGTACCGTCTGTAAAAGATGTGGTTCCAGACATACAGTACCCTGGCGTCTACAAACTAAGTTGCCTCTGTGGTAGCAGTTACATTGGTGAAACCAAACGACATGTCTCGGACCGCATCCGTGAACATAAAGCTGACCTGAAACACGGTAGGACTAACACCTCAGCCGTGGCAGATCACTGTTACAACTCAGTGGGCTCACATGATATTGACTTCTCCAAGACAGAGGTTCTCTGCAAGCCATCTGGCTATCATGAGAGATTCGTTCATGAGGCGATCCACATATACAAACACAGAGAAAATTTTAACCGAGAAGATGGATTCTGGCTCAGCAATCATTGGAAGGACGTAATAAACCATTTCGATACACATTAGGGTGTGTAGAATAATACATAGTGTGATATTAAATGTATAAGATATAGGTTGGTTTACAGCAATACAGTATATAATTTAATGTTGGGTTTATCTATGGCAGTATATAGTACGGTATATGCTCGTGTGATGTAAGAGAATAAGGTTTAGATGGAAGCATATTATAGAATTTTTACGAGGTAAAATTGTAATGTATTACTTGCTGTTAGTAACTCAGCTTATTATAGAGTATAGTAAGTATACTGATGGTGCGATGCAGTTTATACTTTAGTTTTTTTTTTTTTTTTTATGTAGTTTATACTTTAGTTTTCTACGTGGTTGTTGAGTAATTGCAGCTACATATCATTAACATTCCTTTCCTTTGTTACTGCTAATCCCTAACCCCCCTTGGTTGCTGCTGATCCTGCATAATGCATGGGCATAATATGACTTTGACACCCCCCCGCCCAACGCCTACGCATTTTCCATGAATATGCTAAATCCCTCTTCACATGCACATTCTTTTTGTTAAGGCGCTCTTCAACCCCCAATGCAGCTTATATATAAGCTCCTAGTTTGGTAGTGTCTCATTCTTCACCTGAAGACGGCTGCTTGCGTTGTAGCCGAAACGTCGTGAGAATTGTTTTATTATGTTTTATTTTTATTATTTTATTACTTCCCTTCTACGTGACTTTACCGAAAGAAACAAGAAGATGAATCCCTGCAGTCACGAAAGCTTTAAATCGAAATTTAACCGCCTCTACGGGGAGGGTTTCCACATAACTTTGAGATCCTTCAACAAGCTCCGGGATAAGAAGGCTCAGCTAATCGAGTCTCTCACCTTTCTGAAGAGATGCCGCGACTCTAAGGTAATACCAAACGCATTTACACTAACATCTGCTGCTGTAACTTCTTCTAATGCGAAACGAATTCTGTCTAGAACTAGCTTAGCTCTTATCTCAGAGAAAATCAGACTTACGCGCACCGAACTAGATCAGTTAGACAAGACACTCTACAAATCACACTTATCTTTGAGTGTAACAATGTCCACATCGGATTGGGAACATGTGGAAAAAATGACTGCCTCTTCAGCTGCCGCTATGTCGACTAAATGTAAGGACAACTTGATTTCCAAATTCAATCGCCTCTCAAACAAGAAACCGGACCCACACATTGAAAAGCTAGATATTAACAAAGTCGTAATTAATCGCAGTAACAGTCCTATTTCTGAAGGTTTGAAATCCGTTTTAGCTAAAGGACTAAACTTTGCAGTCACACCTAGACACATACCAGTTAATGATATAATTGCTCGAGTAGATGTAGCTCTCAAGGGCTTGAGTCACATCGCTGCAGACGTAGCAAGATCCGAAATCTCTGTAACCCTCAAAAACGCTAAGATGCCAGCTAGCAACATCAGCAAAGAGGAGCGTTTTGAATTAGCTCAATTAAAAAAGAGGGATGACATTGTCATCCTCTCAGCCGACAAAGGCAATGCCACTGTCATCATGGACAAAATAGAATACAACAACAAAATTCAAGAACTACTAAACGATGGCAGCTATACAAAAATAAAAAGAGACCCCACCAACAGCCTCGTCTCCAAAACCAACAACATCATTTCTGCTTCAACCGCATTAATTGATCAGACCAAACAGTTCTCGTTGAAACCTTCTGCAGCCAGACCACCAAGATTGTACGGCTTGCCAAAGATACATAAAGAAGATACACCTCTTCGTCCCATTGTCTCTACTATCAACTCCCCCACTTACAAACTGGCTCGTTTTTTGTCCGAAATCCTACGGCCTTTCACTGGAAAAACCACCTCTGCAGTACTAAACTCTACTGACCTGGTATCGACAATCAAGGGGATTGCCCTGTCCCCAGACGACCTGCTTGTCAGTTTTGATGTGGTTTCCTTGTTCACCAAGGTACCTGTGCCTGACACCATCGCAATCATTGAAGACTTGGTTCATCAAGGACTGAATGCTGGGGTACCCCCCCTGGTGAGACACTGCTTAACCAATACATACTTCACCTGGAATGGAACCTTCTACAAGCAAATTGAGGGCACCCCAATGGGCTCCCCCCTATCTCCGGTTGTAGCCAACATCTTCATGGAGAAATTTGAGACAGACGCCATCCAGACTGCCACTCTACGCCCGACCTTATGGAAGAGGTACGTAGACGACACTTTTGTCATCTGGCCACATGGCCGGCCTGCTCTAGACCAATTTCTCGACCACATCAATTCCATACACCCAGCCATCAGATTCACCATGGAAGTCGAAAATGATGGCAAGCTACCCTTTTTGGATGTCCTAATCAAAAGGAGACCTGATGGTTCAATGAGCCACTCTGTCTACAGGAAAGCCACCCACACGGATGCTTATCTAAAACCGGATTCCCACCACCATCCATCCCAGAAGAATTCCCTCATCAAGACTCTATATCATAGAGCCCAATGCATCTCCGACCATGAACACATTTCCAGTGAACTCAAACACGTACGCCAAGCTCTTAAGGCAAATGGTTACTCCGACTATACAATCCGCAAAGCCATCACTCCAACCATCAAGAAGGATCCTGTTGAGGAGCCTTTCAAGACCATCACCTTACCCTACATTGCTGGGGTCACAAAAAAGATCTCCAAAATCCTGATTAAACACAAGATCCAGGTCCGATTCAACACAGTACATAAAATCCGTGATCTGGTACCGTCTGTAAAAGATGTGGTTCCAGACATACAGTACCCTGGCGTCTACAAACTAAGTTGCCTCTGTGGTAGCAGTTACATTGGTGAAACCAAACGACATGTCTCGGACCGCATCCGTGAACATAAAGCTGACCTGAAACACGGTAGGACTAACACCTCAGCCGTGGCAGATCACTGTTACAACTCAGTGGGCTCACATGATATTGACTTCTCCAAGACAGAGGTTCTCTGCAAGCCATCTGGCTATCATGAGAGATTCGTTCATGAGGCGATCCACATATACAAACACAGAGAAAATTTTAACCGAGAAGATGGATTCTGGCTCAGCAATCATTGGAAGGACGTAATAAACCATTTCGATACACATTAGGGTGTGTAGAATAATACATAGTGTGATATTAAATGTATAAGATATAGGTTGGTTTACAGCAATACAGTATATAATTTAATGTTGGGTTTATCTATGGCAGTATATAGTACGGTATATGCTCGTGTGATGTAAGAGAATAAGGTTTAGATGGAAGCATATTATAGAATTTTTACGAGGTAAAATTGTAATGTATTACTTGCTGTTAGTAACTCAGCTTATTATAGAGTATAGTAAGTATACTGATGGTGCGATGCAGTTTATACTTTAGTTTTTTTTTTTTTTTTTTTTTTTTTTTTTTTTTAATGTAGTTTATACTTTAGTTTTCTACGTGGTTGTTGAGTAATTGCAGCTACATATCATTAACATTCCTTTCCTTTGTTACTGCTAATCCCTAACCCCCCTTGGTTGCTGCTGATCCTGCATAATGCATGGGCATAATATGACTTTGACACCCCCCCGCCCAACGCCTACGCATTTTCCATGAATATGCCAAATCCCTCTTCACATGCACATTCTTTTTGTTAAGGCGCTCTTCAACCCCCAATGCAGCTTATATATAAGCTCCTAGTTTGGTAGTGTCTCATTCTTCACCTGAAGACGGCTGCTTGCGTTGTAGCCGAAACGTCGTGAGAATTGTTTTATTATGTTTTATTTTTATTATTTTATTACTTCCCTTCTACGTGACTTTACCGAAAGAAACAAGAAGATACTGTAACATGATAACAAATATACGTTATATTCTTGGTTCTTTCGGTAAAGTCACATAGAAGGGAAATAATAAAATATAAATATAAAACAATATTTATCGGGAAATAATAAAATAATAATAAAATATTTAAACAATAAATATTTTTTATATTTTTTATTGATAATATTGTTTTATATTTTTTATTTTATTTTATTATTTCCAATAAATATTGTTTTATATTTTTTATTTTATTTTATTATTTCCCTTCTACGTGACTTTACCGAAAGAACCAAGAATATGAATCCCTGCAGTCACGAAAGCTTTAAATTTAAATATATGTTAATAGCTTCAAAAGGTCAGTCTCCATTTGTTCGCCACCGTTGTCAACACGTGCCTGGAATCTTCTCCAGGTGGTCTCCAGAGCTCGGGAGGCAGCACATTTCTTGTGTGGTGTTATTGCAAATTCTTAGAAGTGTTAACGTTTTTTTGAAGCACCCTGTCTAATGACAGGACAAAGCATTACATGCCTTGTTGAACCTCGACGCTGGTTGTCTTGTCCATAGACTCGCACCTACCATAGGAATGGAGAATTCCCATCACTGGTTCAGGTTTTGCAAGCAGAAGACGAGCAACGCCACTTCACAGGCGTTCGTTTTTTAGCGGGATCCACTCCGACCGTTTGTTTTACCTTCGGTTTCCTTTCTCTCTCAGTGAATGGCGTTGGGGAGTCGCTGTGCGCGAGCCCGAGCTTCCCGAGTGTTTTGGGGGGCACCAGGGGTGCCGAGCCCCCCTCTTCTCCGCACGCCGGGCGCAAGAAGCATCGCCGAAAGAAGAGCACCAGCAACATTCGTGCCGACAGCATTTTCACTTCGGCAGACGGTGGGTTCATCCATCCATCAGCATTGCTCTGTCATCGTTCCTCATCACTCTGGCTTACCCAGTAAGGACTGCCAGAAATGACTCCTCTTAGGGTAAAGGTAAAGGTGCAGGGCTGCTCTCACCCTAGTAGTGGCGGAATGAGAGGGAGCTCTAGAGGGCCCCTCTGAGAGGGTATTTTGGCCTACTCTTTCTCGCTGGTCATAAATCTTGGAAGAGGTGAGAGTTTACCCACACATTATTTCCCAACCACAGAGTAGTCGATAGACGTAACTGCGGTGAAGCCAATTCTACAACGATGGGGGGGGGATTCAAGAAACTTGGTCCGTTGTTTCGAACCAGCGACCTCTGGATTTCATTTCCAGTGTACAGCATCCCGACTGCTTATTCAAATCACAACTTATATATATCCATCCATGTGAATCACGTAATTTGAACGGTTTTGTCAATGCCGAATTTAGTTTCTCTGTGGCAGTCATTGCCCTGCGCCGTGTTCGTCAATCAATCAACCTTTATTTACGTGCCAATATCGCTCTCAATAAAGTAGGCATCGGTGCACATGACAAACGCATCGGGAACGGTAGGGGGGGGGGGGGGGCGTACAGCACCCGGAATGAAAGATGAAACCCGTCACGACCTCGGCGACTAGCACCGACTAAGCAACACAACGTAAATTGCAACAGCGAGAAGTAAAGAGCAACCGATGTAACGAGTTGCTGATAGGGCGGCGGCCCTGATGGTTACTGTGGAACCCATCACACGCGGCTTATTCTGACTTAAAGTTCCTTCGGCGTTTCGTAAATGCAGTTTTTTTCTTTGAAAAACTATTAAGGGGGTGGGGGGGGGGGGTGGTGGCCCCTCGCTGGCCAGTGTGCTTTTGAAGTATGGCTACATAACCCCCACGACCAGCTTGGTGTGGGGAGAGAGGGAGGTCCTTGTCCAGCAGCAAAATGACAAATGGGCTGTACAGGTTTCTCCGGCTTTACACGGCGGTAGTGGTATTAGTAGATGCGTTCCAAAAAAAACAAATGGGCGCAGCAAAGCGAAACCGCACGAGGAGGACAGCTGCTTGCCGAGTAGCGCACACAGCACACACACACAATGTTGTCCCTCGTCCGAGCGCATTTAGCCGCATATGCGTGAATTAAAGCCGAATAAATATATATATATATATAAAGCTAATTTTGGGTAGAAATAGGTTTACCGCATGAACGCTAAATCGCACAAACCGAACACGCGCCGAGTGAGGGAAACCTGTACTTGGAAAGCAAGTCCTCGTTTAACGCGGTCGTAGACGCGTCCCTGAAAAGTGCCTCGTGAAGCGAAAACGATTTCCCCATAAACACTGTAACGACAAAGTTCGGCCGAGATACGACATACGCACGCGCGGTGAGATGGCGGGACATATAACGAAGGGTCCACCGCTGCTTTACTGTATCATTCCACGTACTGTATTACTGTACCGCTCAGCCGCCCAGCTCGGGAAAGTAGTACGTCATCGACCGCTCGGCAAACGCTTGCGTTCCACGTTGTGTGAAAAGGGTTTCCTTGATCGACGAATCGCGTTGTAGCGAAAATGCGTTGCAGTGTGAACACCGCGCGTTAAGCGAGGACTTGTACTGTGTGGCACGCGTTGTCAAACCATCTTTGAGTCTTATCTAATTTCTTTGCTTACCTTACTGTACCTCTTTCTCCCTCTTGTCCGTGTTCGTAATATACGTTTGCGTGGAGGAGAACTTCATCTATTCGCACTGATGCCAGGCGGCTTAATGCCCTTGTGATAGTTGTTAGGCTCATCGTGTGACGTTGCTTGCATGCACTTGCACTCGGTGCTGACGCCGTCCATCAGCGGTGGAACTGGAAATAGCTCCAAAACTCCGGTAGTGTGTGCCTCGTCGTCTTTCCCAGTCCTCTCCATTCTAATACGAATAACAACAAAAACTGAACGCAGCACTTAAAAGGATACATATATAATCGGTGACGTTTCAGGACCCCTAACCCGAACCCCTAGCCCTAATCCTAACCCTAAATCCTAACCCATAACCCTAACCCTAAAACCAAATTCTAACCCTTAACCCTAACCCTTAACCCCTAACTACAAAACTTAATCCAACCCTAAACCCGAACTCCTAACCCTAACCCGAATCTCTAACGCCTAACCCTAACCCTAAACTCCAAACCCCTAACCCCTAACTCTAACCCTAACCCCTAACCCTAAACCCTAACCCCGAAACCCCTACCCCTAACTCTAACCCCTAACCCTGAAAACCCTAACCCCTAACCCTAAAACTAACCCCAACCCTAACCTGAACCCCTAACGCCCCTTCACAGCACCAAGGAGGGCCATTGCCCAAAACGTTGCCTATTATTGTTTCCTGTGCTTGTGCACCACTGCCAAAGCAGCATCGCCAAGTGATTTGTTTCATATCTATGACGTCATTACAGCCTGCACGTGCCTGATGATTGCTGAGGACATGTAGCGTTGTGATATGTCCTAGGCCAGGGTGTCGGCAACTGGCGGCTTCGAAGCCGCATGCGGCTCTGTAAAGGACAGCTTTGTGAGACGTCATTTATTCAGGACCACCATCTCGTATTCGCATTGCATTGCGGCTCTTGAAATACTGAGCTTTTTTTTAATCGAATTTGAAAAAAGTGGCTCTTCTTGCGAAATTGGTTGCTAACCCCTCCCTGACCATGGGAGCCCAGTTTACCATGGGAGTCCAGTTTACCATGGGAGTCCAGTTTACCATGGGAGTCTAGTTTACCATGGGAGTCCAGTTTACCATGGGCAGGGGTCGGCAAACCTATAGCTCCGGAGCCACATGCACCTCTTTAAGGACCGCTTCGTGGGACGTTATTTATTCAAGACCACCATCGTCTCGTATTCACATTGCATTGCGGCTCTTGAAATAAAGAGTTTTTTTTATACCGAAATCGAAAAAAATGCCTCGTTATTTTGGTTGGCGACCCTTGTCCTAGGCAATCACCATTCAGAGTGCTGATCCAAGTTAAGAGCGATGCATACGTCCTGTGTGACACGTGTACACACGACACCTCGATGCTAATTTAAGTCTGCGCTCTTTAAACATCATGTGTGACACAAAAGACAAAGATCCCCCGCATAGTCTTATAACAGACTGATGGGGCAAGAGCTGTGATGTGTGTCGCAAACGTGCGACACGCGCACTCACGTACACACACAAGATCTCTATCTCAATTCGAATCGGCACACTGCACCACACGGGGGAACATATATTTACCAACTATCAGGTGCGTGCAACATGTAACGACCTAATTTGTATTTGAACGGGAAAAAAAAAATCTGAACTTACAAGAGCATGCCATGGTTGGTTGAGAGAGGACTGGCATTTTGGAAACCGTGTCTTAAACAGAAGGGTAACCACGACTACATTTTGTAATATTTACCGTGCATAACATTACGTAATAAGCAAATGCTAGTGGACAAAACAGGACTTGTTCTTTCGTAAGTTCAATGTTTTAATGTATTTAAAGTTCCAACGTTGTTTTGTTACGTAACAAAACTGAAGTAAAGATAACAGTCATCTCTATGGGGACCTCATTTGCCAGTAAAAATATGATAATTGGTTCTTTACCCTTACCCTTATGAGGTCCCCATAGTGTAGATGCTTGCCCCGAGCTCTCATACTCTGATGGTGCATTGTCCTTGAGTTGTGCGCCTTTTGGCGTCATCTGGTCCAACCCATATGAGACTAGGCTCGAAGGAAAGCTGTCTCGGGTGTGGACCAATCAACTTCAAGGACAGTGCACATTATCAGAGTTATGTTCTTTTGTTTGTATTATGACTGCAGGTATTGCGGTCTATGCAAACATGACTCCTTGCAAAAAGGTGTCAGTTTTGTTGCCAGATAGAAGGGTAAAGAACCAATTATCAACAGTCATCTCTGTCACGAATTGACGTGCGAATAGATGAGACTTCCCCCCCCCCCCCCCGTATATGTTGAAGCTCAACGTAAAGGAACGCCTGCGACACTTTAACGCTTGTTTCTTATTCTCGTCTTCCCTCTTTTTTCTGCTCTCACGGACACAGCCAAACGTAGGGCATGGAAACTGAGCCGCGTGGGTAGTTTGAGAAATTTATACAGCAGCAGCAGCGTGAACTCGGAAGGTAAAGTCCAAGCTGTTGTGTGCTCAGCCCCCGGGGGGCGGGGGGGGGTGTAGAGAGACCGATGAATCTCTGGGGGACATCAGGGGAAGTTGCTAGCGATGTACCCCCCCCCCGGCCCCTACCCCCCCCCCGCCCCACAAGTCCCTCCCCCTCCCTGCGCCCCCCCCCCCCGTCCCCCACCCCGAGCCTCCGGCACTTCAGTCCCAGATTTCTTTGTTAAATGTAATCCTAGCCCAAATGTTCGTCCAATCGTAACAGACCTTTCGTGGGGTTTTAGATTCATTTTTTAAAAGGAACGCTGCTTATTTAGTTTTGGTGCAGGGTTTACGTTAAAAGCTTCCTGTTGGGGTTTAGATTTAGGGTTAAAGATAGGGTTTCGGGATAGGCGTTAGAGGTTATGGTTTAGGATTGGGTTTAGGGTTCCATTCTAGAGTTAAGGGTTATGGTCAGGTTACAGTTCAGGGTTAGGATTAGGTTTTCGGGTTTGTAGTTAAAGTTTGTGTTAATGAGTTGGATCGAGTTTAGGGATGGGGTTTAGGATTATGGAGTTTTGCATTAAGGCTTGTGTTTAGGGATTAAGGTTCAGATGCTAGGGTAAGGGTTTAGGGTTAGTTATAAGTGTTGGGTTAATGGTCACAGTTATGGGTTACGATTAGGCTTCAGAGTTAGGTGTTAGGATGAGTGTTTTATGGATAAGGATTTAGGGTTCGAGTTTAGGCATAGGGTTTCGGGATAGGTGCTATGGTTAGGTATAGGGTATATGGTTGGGAATTTATGATTACGGGTTACAGTTAGGGTTTAGAGTCAGGATTAGTGACTGTAGTCGCTAATATAACTCTGCCACGTATCTGCAGGGACTGTAGTCCCGGCCTTCTGTGGTATCTATGGCGACCCCTCTGTGCTGATATGAGAGCTGTCGTGTTTATTTTGCTGAAGGCTCTGCATTGTCAATTAGGTGTGTCACGATTCATCCATGAAAATCAGTTCTAGCGATCAAGGCTACGTGTGTTAAATCGTGCGTGTAAGATTTGGTTATTTATATATAGGTCAGCGGTGGGGAACCTACAGCTCGCTGGCCATCTTAACCCTTTCACGTGCTGTGATGACTGCAAGTGGCAGGGTGGGTGTCCCCTCCGCCAGTTCACCGCTGAATCTTGGAACACATGAGCGGTCAGCGTTAATTTTACTCAGTCGTAGCGCCGTTTTTCAAGACATTGTACTCACCGCAGAGCACTGTAGTGACACGACCGCACTCTACGATAGCTGGCACCAAACGGTGCCACACGCCCTCCCGCATGGCCTTGTGGGAGCCGTGGTTCCAATAAAGTTATTTTATTTTAGTTTTTCTTACGGTTCCGTTCCTCGATAAAGTACATATACATAAGTACGCGAGGTGGAAGGTGGGCGTAACGTCATCGCGCAGATGTCCACGCACTTGCCCGCGCACCAGCCAGCAAAACTTTTTTTGTATAATAGAGTACGATTAACTCTCTTTAAATATAAATACGTAACATTGCAAGCCGACCAACGTCCGGCATGTACCCTCTCCGTTTGTGTTGGCTGCGACCGTCGTCAGACCAAGAGGATTCCTACGAGTTCACGATCGTCTCTCTGCGCGGCGAGACCTGGCACTTCGCCGCGGCCAGCGCTGAGGAGCGCGAGTCGTGGGTGGCGGCGGTCGAGGGGCAGATCCTCGCCTCCCTTCAAGGTTGTGAGAGCTCCAAGTACAAGGTGTGTACGTGTGGGCATGTGTGTGCACGCAAGTGTACGTGTTGTGTACGTGTGTTGGGGAGCGGTAGCGCAACGGGTTAGCGCGCTGCGCTAATAACACTGCGACCCGAGTTCGATTCGCCCCCAACACCAGTGACAAATTATCTCAACTGGTCCTGGGCCTCCCCTAGGTCGACTCGGCCTCAAGTGAGTACCTGGTGCGGTATGTAAACATCGCCACTAAGGAGACAAAGGCGATCGGGCGTGGCGTTGGCCACCTGCCCCCTCGTGTAACGTGCCAGCCTTCATAGGTGTTCGCTAACGGCGCTTGCCCCAACAGTTTTTTGAAGGCTATGCGGGGGATCTTTGTACTTGTGTGTGTGTGCTTCCAGTATATTACCCCAGAGATATGAAAGGGGATACTGAGGGGGTCGCCTCATATATGAAGAAAATTCCCGGAATATGCCCGATCTCCGTAGATGTTGGAGGCTAAGGAAGGGTTGAGCGTGGATTGTGTGCGAACAAGGGCGGCCTCCATGCATGCCAGGTTGTAATAGGCATCTGTGGGGCTATGTGGTGGGCAGAAATTCGACAATTTTAATAGTACAGACCAAGTGATGTTGACTTGTCTCAATGTAGTTTTTGAAAGTGCTGTACGCAGATTATACCACGATTTTTTAATGTGATTTTTTGTGTGTATCATTGATTGTTTTAGTCCACATCACCATGTATAAGGAGCGATGAGATTAGGCCTTGTCCAGGAGTCGGATGGATTGTCGTGTCAGAGGATTGCGAGGGATGGTGATTGCGTCGGGTGGTCACGATCCAGCAGTGGATAGAAAATGTTTGATGATTTTGATGATGGTCCCATGTTATTGGCCGAGGTTAGTGAAACATTCTGAAATGTATCATTGTTTCCATGGGGTCTATTGATGCGAGTGCACAATTTTTATCTTAAAAGAGTAGTCGGGGAAAACACCTCAAGCCATGCTACGTGGCTGGGCCTTGTTTACACTTGAATAAAAACCGTCGAATGATTCTTGTGAAACTTTACAGATGCGGCTCGGGAGCCAGAGTGACGCTACAGCCATCCAGTCCATCCGGAATACGAAGGGGAATGCATTCTGTGCCGACTGCGGCGCACCAAGTACGTGCAGTCCTCTCGCTCTGGTCCTGTTCTCTTGACTCGTGAACAAATCTCGAGCTTAGGGGGGCGGTCATGAGGTCGCACTAATTGCACAACAATGTGCTCGCCACAAATGAACCACACACAACGCCTCGCTGATCTCATCAAGGAGCGTAAACCATCACGTGAACTTCTGGTCATCCTTACAGCAGCGGCTTTTGGCTGACCGTCGAACGAAGACGGCCACCGCATCGCGCGCTTTCAGATGCGCTTCTGCGGCTGTCTGGAACGCTCTTCCTTCCGATATTAGGAAGCCACTGGAGCTATGCACTTTTAAATCTAGATTTAATACTTATTTGTTTAGAACTGATTTTTATAGTTATGTTGTCCTTCCCGCCCCCAGCACCTCCGATTAGCACGGTTGGATACGTACGGTGCGAAAGAAAGTTTAACATACATTTATATACAGAAAGGCCTTGATGTCGGCTTTTGATAGGTATTCCCACTGTCGCTTTCCACACTCACACCGTCGCAATTTCCGTCACCGTGGAACTGACCGCCGGCCCGCGCTTGTTTGCGGAACGTTCCGACAGACCCCGACTGGGCGAGCTTGAACCTGGGCGCGCTGATCTGCATCGAGTGCTCGGGGATCCATCGCAACCTGGGCACGCACCTGTCGCGCGTGCGCTCCCTCGACCTGGACGACTGGCCGCTGGAGCTGGTGACGCTGATGAGCGCCATGGGGAACGCGCTCGCCAACCGTGTGTGGGAGGGACTCCTGCCGCCGGGGGCGTGCAAACCCACGGCCGACTCGCCACGGTGAGCATCAGCCTTGGTCCGCTGGTTCGTCGGTCGTCCTCGGGTCGGTCAACTGCCACGGCACGCGGGTGGGTCTGTCGCACCTACCCGGGTTGGTGTGCGGCCGTGGCGAGATGTTAACACCTCGCCTGGTATGCAGGAGGTCGTGGTGTTTGATCCTGACCCTGACGCCTGCTGCTGTATGTTTGGAGTTTGCATGTCTCTCCCCGTAGGTCGTGTGGATTTTTCTCCAGGTCCTCCAGTTTTTTCCTCCACATTTAGAATCAATGTACGCTTAGAGAATTTTGTGGTCAGGTCTCTTCTACAAAAGAGCTAGATAGCTCCATGGGCCTTACCTGGTAAAATAAAAAATAGTTAATTAGATAGTTCTCTGGCCTCCTGCCCAGTGAGCCTTAGACACTTCACGTGGCTTCAAAGTTAAACGTATTAACCGCGAAAATCAGAGGTGCGGGTAGCGAGTGATACGTGAATCCGGTCCTAGTCCGAATAAAATATTACAGCTGAACCAACAGGGCAGATCTTTGAGGTTGCGTGTTTACTGTGCAGCAGCAGCGTCAACAGGAATTGTCAGAGAATAGAAAGCGTTGGCCTGGTGGAATCAACGGCGTTGGATGTGATGACGTCAATGATCTTGAAAATTGCATAATTACCGAATTGCATGTGTACTTGAGACCGAAAGCATTTTGACCGCATATAAAAAATCATCGTGTCCTTAAGCTGCACTCGTTCTTATCCAATGTCTATGGACAAACTTATCCTTGCCATCGGAATGTGGACGTTTTATACTCCCGAATCAGGATCTTTAACATTCGAGATGTGCATGAAGTGCCCCAACACACTTATTTTAGCATCAATGGCCCTAAAAAAAAATCCCTTGTCAAGTGTACACTTTCATTAGTGTAGCCCGTCGGAAAGATCATTACAATAACTGCCAATCACAGTCGTCTAAGATCACAATCAACCGTACATGATATACTCATGCAAGTGACACATGCACATCACCTATACATAGTTCATGTACAGCCCTTTGTCAGTCCACTGCTGGATTGGGGTGTGGGGGGGGGAGCCTCCCCCACACACCGTGCTGGTTATAGGGATTGCTTGACCATACTTCACCTTGCTGGTCAGTGTGGCTCCTTGAAGGAGCAGAGCCAGGACGTTGGGCCATATTACAGTACAAGCATTGGCTTTTGTTTAACTGCCCCCTTCTGCAGCCTACAAGACCTGCTATGCATGTTGGTCACTGTGCAGGTCGGCCCCGCTTGCCTTCCAAGGTCTGACGAGATCGGGAGCATTTGAGCTCATTTTGTGTTCGGCGCTTACTTGTACGTCGTGTGCATAATTATACAGCGGGAGTGGTGGCTCAGTGGTAGGTTCCCACTGCGCTATGAACCAGGCAGCCTTTTTGATCCCCAGGTGGTGGTAAACGTGTGATTTGCAGTGATATTTATGACACGATTACGTCCTTGTTTTTGCGCGCACGCGCATATGTAAGGGTTCACGCATGTATTTGTTGTGTACATATTTTCGTCTCTTCTTGTGTCGTAAAGAATTTTCTATCTTTTATAGTGGCAGATTCTTGCAGGAATGGCGCAAGGTGCTTAAGAGCACAAATAACTTTTACTTGACTATTACAGCTGGGCCAAGTATGATCAACTTCACGGTGTCGGGGGCAGTAGTGCAGTGAGGTTGGCGTGGGCCCTGATGCAAGGTTATCTAGATTATTTGGCTGCTATAAATTTTCACGTAATAAGCCACTCCATTGAGCTATACAGTAAAACCTTGGATTGCGAGCATAATTCGTTCCGGAAACGTGTTTGTAATCCAAAGCACTCGTATATCAGTTGTGATCACGTGACGCTCAGACGACAAAGCGTATACACGTACTACTCGTATTGCAAGACCTCGCTCGTTTATCAAATTAATATTTATTTAAAAAAATTGCTCGTCTTGCAAAACACTCGCAGACCAAGGTTTTACTGTAATTTGTGGCCAGGCCGCTTCTGAAAAATATTCTTGTGATCTGCTTACCTTTTGACTGAAAGCTTTCGTGACTACAGGAATTCATATTCTTCGTTCTTTCGGTAAAGTCACATAAATAGAAAATAAACTCTATTTACGTGACTTTACCAAAAGAACCAGGAATATTAGCTTACCTTTCTTACTTTCCACTCCTATTGTGTTTTTGTATTGTTATAACTTTCTGACCCTTGCCCACCCCTACTGGACATCTGTGAATTTTTTTTTTTATAGCTCATAGGATTCCTCCAGTATAAATACATATTCTGATTCTGAAATGGTGGTGGGTGGAGGCCGGGGGTGGAGTCGCTCTTTACCATTTCCCTCTCTCTCTCTCTGTTCGTAGCGCGGTGCACCTGGGGGCCTCTCTGACCCGCTGGGGCCCTGTCCCTGGTGCAATCGCACCGCCTGCGCACTCCACAGCTACACCGATTACGCGTGTGCCAAGGCTAAAGAGCGAGAGAGAGGGAGAGAATGGGGGGGTGCTAGGGAAAATTTGTTCGGAGGAATCACCGAGACGGGGGTGGGAGATGCAGTTCCGGAGGGCAAATTTCGTGTAGCCGGCGTCGGGAGATGAGATTTAATTTTACAAGCGAGTGATTTAATGATGCACTGCCTAATTAATTAGCTGATTAACTTAATGTTAAGTATGTCCAGCAGCAAATCATGATGACTGCCCCCCCCCTCCCCACAGAACAGCCCCTACCCCCACACACACACCCTTCATCAACCGTGCCAGTGCTTGCCCATGCGCCATTCCATTACTTTACTCACTTTTCCATATCCTCCCAAAGCTCCCATGGCACTGAATTAGACCACACGGACACACACAAAAAAGACCAAACACTTTGGCTGCCGCTTTGTGTGTGTGTGTCGGCTAATGGCAGTGACATTTCTAAACGCTTTGCACTCTGCGGTGAGGTCGAGGGTCCGTGGTAAACATGCGCTCAGTAGCACGACGCGAAACCTCGAACACGCTCGGTGCCGAATGACTGTTTTGAGTAAAAGGAGTGTGATTTTGTTTCCACGTGCTGTTTTTATTGCAATAAGCACAGGACCGACTTGGTCTCGTGTGTGTGTGTGTGTGTCCCCTCCGTGAAGGGAAATGGTCGTTAAGTCATCTTGCTGCTGTGCACTTTGAAATCTAGATTGAAAACTCATATCTTTAGAACTGCTTTTTGTGTTTAAAAATGTTTTTGTCCTTCTCCCGCACCTCCGATTAGCACGCTTTGCTACGCTTCAAAAGAAGTTTAACATGCATATATTAACACTGAAAAAAATAAAAGTTTGTTAAACACGTTCCTTCGGAGTGGGCAGGTAGGAACTTGGTTGGACAGCGCATTCGTGCACGACAGAAAGCTCGCGGTCACGTGACGCACTTCAACAAATCCGGGAGCGTACACGTTTGGGAGGGGCTATGCACGACAGACAAATAATCCCTGGTGGGCAGTGTTGAACTGTTGTTCCTACCTGTATAATTGTTTTGATGAACATTGGTGTGCTGCTTATCTCTTGTTTACAGCCCTGAGCCGATAGTGGAAATTCGACATTCGTTAGGCGGAGGGTGAGAGTCTATCCACAGGACAGCCACTGGTCACTTCCTCACCAAGTGGAGTCACTTATTTTTATTCACCCCGGAAGGGCGATGGCCTCAATAAACCCCTGTAAACGCCGCAGCTCAAAGCAACTCTCTGTGGACCCTTAAGTGCTCCCCCCATCATGTGATAAACACTCTGTAATTGACTATAAACGTGTCAATGTATATAAAGGACTGCAGAGCTTGGGCAGTTGTTAGCGCCAGCTCACTGCCTTGGCTGCTGCTTTCCCACTTGCCCGTGATTCCTCAGTGATTGTGCAATGCAATTTGCACGAATGATGCTGTATTAAAGTCAATGAGACGTTATTTTTTAACAGTCTCAAAAAATGCCGGAGAATCTTGTGGTCGTAGATGAACAGTGTTTCACGCTTTTCGTCAGAGCTTTGACCCAATAATTTGTAGCCCTTCCGCTACTGCCTCTTGTTTTGCCAGCCTTAATTTTTACTCTGTCTCGGTCATTTAAAAAAAGGTTTGGACAATGCGAAGGTGATATCAGCAGGAAAGGGAAGCAAATCAAACTCTCATTATTGGGATTGTCCAAACATCCCAAGCCAGGTAAAAAAAAGGTGCCAGTAAAAGTGCAGCCCTGAAATATCTTGCTCCCACCTCTGCTGGCAGAAGGGGGCCTCCGCTATTGCGAGCCTTGGGGAGTGTTTGGTTTCATCCACGTTGGCCAGACGTGTTGGACGAGGTGGTTGTACCCACACTTTTTAGCCGAGCGCACGCTATGGTGCCGATCGACTGACTGTGGTGCTGGGTGGACTGAGGTGGGCAGGGGGATTTGAGAATTTTGCAACGTTGCTTCAGCTGCCACGCCGGGAGATGAGAGTCGAGCCGACCCTCGGAATAAAAACCGAGCCATGGAACTGGGTGACACTTCCCCCGGAGCATGTGATCGCCATTGCAGTATTATTATAATTGGCGTCGTTAATCGCAATTAATTACCCCACATGGTTCTGTCGCGCAGACACGTGTATGCGGTTAGTACGACCGTGCCGGGTTTAACTTTAAGCTGCTGAACGTTAGTTTTGACTTTAATCGGTGCGAAACAGTTGTCGGAAGATGAGCATTACCTGCATTTCAGTTGGGCCTTGCATTTAATTGGGGTGCTGAAGGGAGGAGAAGCAAATGAAGTGGGGTTTTTTTTTTCTCTTCGGGTTAAAAGCAACCATTCGTCGTTTCTTCCTGCGTAATTGTGATTTCGATCAATTGTGTCACTTTAGCAACGCTTATTAGGCAGAGAAATTACAATCGCAATTAAAAGCTACTTCTGCCTTTTTCACCCATCGTCTCTCGTTCTGGAATGGCGCGGTGCGATGTTTTGCGGGAACGTTATCACTGGAGCCAGGAAGACGACTTTTTAGTGCTTAAAAAAATATTAATC